CGAGCGCCGCTGTGAGAAATCCGCCCGGAACTCCGACAGTTTCGGGGGTGGACAGGCCTCCTACCCTGATTCGTCAATTAGTGAGTTGGCCGTTTTCGGTTCGCGAGAGGGCGTCGCGGCCGTCATTCTTGCGGGTCCAGGTCCGTCGGTTTCGGTCCTAGGCCGTTTTCATTAAAGGGAGGTTTGCGAAAGGGAGGTTTGTCCACCGCCGAAGACGGGGCCCGAGCGCCGATGTGAGAAATCCGCGCGGAACTCCGACAGTTCAACTTGTGGCATTTTTCTCCAGTTGTGCTGGTGTATGCAGTGAGGCTTGCAGTCTTCGGCCTTCGCGTCGGCTCTGCGGCCGACGCGGCAGAGTGGGCGTTGCGCTTCCGGGTCTTGCGCGCTCGAGCGAGTTCGTTCAAAAGTTCGTTCGTTCGAGTGAGCTCGCTCAGTGATTCCCTCTTCTGCAGCTGCATTCTTTGAGACGGAAGTGCGCAGGCCAGAAACGGCAGGGAATGTACTACGTGCAAATTGCGACAGAGCCGATTGAGTTCATGTCGCGGCAGCCTGATGAAGGGGCGCTCCCTGGAACAAAAATCGCGGCTGGATCCAAACGGGATCTCAGAGGCCTACCATGCTTGCAGGTCGGGGACAGCTTCCTCCCCATACCTCTGATTCTTAAATCCGCGCGCCCCGGAGGCCCCAACGGTTTTTCTAGGGGCCACTGTTCGCTCTGGATCAGTTTTGACGCCCCTGGGGCCGACAGCCAACCCCCAGTTGTGGCGAACATGGGGCTGATATTCAGGAAGACACGCGCCAGTGGGTCTTGATGGACTGCTCCCTGCTGTTCCCACGCGCTGCAGGCTGCCCCCCCCCCCCCCCTCCCCCTCACCCCTCCCCCTTCCCTCTCCTCCTCCTCCTCCTCCTCCTCCTTCCCGCCTTTTCCTCCTCATCATCGCTCCCTCTCTCCCTCGCTTTCTCCCCCTAGCTCATCCCTCTTCCCTTCTCCCTTCTTCCCTCCTCCCTTCTTCCCTCGACCACAAGGCTGTCATCGCTGAGTTGAAGATGCCAGAAGCAATGGTAACTAGACGACCGCGACGCGACGACGGCCAATGGCAGTGCAGGCATGCACCACCCGACGCTTCCACCAGCAAGATTTGAATGTGAAAGTCTACCACGACCACCGAAGACGACGATATAAACCAGACGAACTACCAAACGACCCACGCTTCCTGGACGAGCACATCCGGCAAGTTCATCGACGCCGCCGCCGCTAGCAGCGCGGGAGCACCACGGGCAGACCTACAACCAGACAGAGAAGCAGAGCGTCTACGTCTCACCGCACAGCGACATCAGACCCCAAACAACGACCACCGCACCCGCAAACAACTGAGCACATTGATACAGCAGGAGATCCGCGCGCAGAAGCGGCGGACACGAGGGGCCCATATGGGAAGCGTGCTCGACCAGTTCAGAGACCTCAAGAGTATCCCGCGCATCAAGACACGCAGAACATGGACTTTCATAGCACACATTACAGACAAAGGAGGCTAAACACGCACGGCCCGGCAAGAACTTGCAGATATCTCTGCAGAGTTTTACCAGCATTTATGCGACAAACGGCCAAGCCGACGCAACGAGAGCGACGCGGCGACGACCTACCTTTCATTGGCAAAGAGTTGGATAATGCGATAAGAGGGCTCCAGGTAGGTAAAGCTCCAGACAGCAAATGCCTACGAGCAAACATGTTTACGGAAGGCACACACGAATTGCACGGCGCACTTCCCCATCTCTACAACACAACCATCCAGTCCGACGCTCCGCTGCCATCCAGCTGGAAGAACACTGTCGTCACGGCCATTCCCAAGAGTGCCGATGTAACACTTCCGCAAATCTATCGGCCTATATGCACAACACCATTACTTTTCAAGCTTTCTCTACAATCGACTCCAACCAAGACTCGGCTCCCAACAAACTGCAGACCAGGCCGGCTTCAGGCCAGGGCACTGGACCACCGACCATCTGTTCGTTTCCCACGTCCTTTATGAGCGCGCGGACGAATGGAACCAGAATTTGTGGATAGCCGCACTAGACTTCAACAGTGATTTTGACACAGTCGAGCGCAATAGCATGTGGGCAGCACTGGGGGCGCACGGCGTCCAACGAGGATATATCTCACTACTCCAACAGCTGTTCGAGGGACAGACGGCCACGGTCAAGACTGACGTCAGCAGCAGGTCCTTCAGTCTCCCCCAGGGAAAAAAGCAGGGCGATCCGCTCAGTCCCTTACTCTTCAACGCTTCGCTACAGCATATTCTTGCACCACTCACCGACTGGCAAAACAAGGGCAGGAGAGTCCAGCTAGGATCCACCACCACCTCTGCACTTACCTCCGCTTCGCCGACGACGTGCTCCTAACCAGCCAAACACTACCGCGCCTCACCGCGATGCTCGGCGACATCGTGCGCGCGATACGACCTCGCGGACATAAGCTGCACCCTTCCAAAACCAAAGTACTCAGCAACCAAACCATGGGCAAGTTTGCGCACCGTGCACATTCAGGACATGGACATCAACATCCTTCCACACGATGGCAGTATCAAATGCTGTGGTCAATTCATCAGCTTCCACGACGCGATGGAGACTGAATCCACCAGCGCACGAGGGCAGCATGGGCAACGTTCGCTTCGCGCAAACAGGAGCTGACAAGCAAGCACTACCCGCTGACACACCGACCCCGGTTTTCAATCGAACAGTAACACCCACAGCACTACGAAGCAGAGGCGTGGACGCTCACGGAACCTCTACGGCAACACCTGCGGCGCACACAACGCCGCATGCTCTGCATGATCATCAGGACACCAAGGCGACGCGCTGCCCGCCAAACGACCCCGACGAGCAGCACCCAGGGCCACGCGGACGACCGCACCACCACCCAAACACCTCATTGAGAAACCAGCAGCAGCGACGACGCAGAGAGCAATACGCCCCAACGAGACACGACAGACAGACACAGCGAGAGCAACGACAACAACACTGATGAGGACGCGGCGATGGAGCCGTGGGTCGATTACATCCAGCGAACCACGCGGCGCGTAGAGCAGCTCACGCAGCACCACCACATTGAAAATTGGGAGATGCTTCGCAGGCAGAGGTTGTGGCGAATGGCATCCAAGGCAGCCGACCACGAGCCCACCATATGCACGTGGCGAGCACTCCATTGGCAACCAGGGGAGAGATCTTGCCAACTTGGCCGGGGACGCCACGGCGGCCAGCGCAAGCGCTGGGACGACGATTTCGCCAGCTTCCTCCAAGAACAACGACTCGACCTGCAACCAGCGCCCGCACCAACCAATGAGCAGGGCAAACCAAACGACCTTACCTGGGGTCGCTCAGCTCAAGGCACCTCAACGTGGTCGACACCCGAGCACTCGTACATCAACACCTCGCCGACACTCACAACCAGGACTTCCTCCTCCCAACCACCTCCATCACAATTTTTTTGTGTGTTGCGCGATTCAGATTTTTTGTATGTCTCGCACATCCAATGCATGTCTGCATGTCTACAGGAGGCCATGGCCTCACACACCTGGTCTTAGCAGGTCCAGACAGCTGTCCGATGTGGTGGTTCGTCCGTTTGTTCGTTCTTCCCTCCTCCCTTCTTTCCTCCTCCTCTTTTTTCCTCCCCCTCTTCCTCCTCATCCCCCTCCTGCTCCCATCCGTTGCCCTGTTTCCGAGAAGGGTCTTGGACGGCGCCCCAGGCAGGCCAGTGTTAGCATGGATTCATTGCATCCATATAACCTTCAGGGACACTTCTATCCTGCGTCGCCTGCCGCCGCCGTCGGCTGATTGAATCTCGCCCCCAATGCAATTGACCTTCCCCTCCCCCCCGTCCTCGTCCTCCTCCTCCTCGTCGTCCCTATCCTCCTCCTCCTCCTCCTCCTCCTCCTCCTCCTCCTCCTCTTCTACATCCTCCTTCTCCTCCTCCTTCTCCTGCTGCTCCTCCTCCTCCTCCTGCTTTTCCCACTCCTCCTCCTCCTCCTTCTCTTGCTCCTCCTCCTCCTCCTCCTCCTCCTCCTCCTCCTCCTCCTCCTCCTCCTCCTCCCCCTCCTTGTCTATTCCTGTCGCACCCCGAGGCCAGTTTTTAGGGCGGGCTGGGCGTTTCGCTGAATATTTCCTCACCATTTGTGACTGAAGCTCAAACATTGGCAGCAGTTTCACAGATGTAGGGCGGGTCGTTTTCAAACGGTGCATCTCGCCTCAGCGCCGCGCACATTCCTTCTGACATTTTGCAAGAGTTTCACAGATTGAGGATCACCCGTTTTCGCAAAGTGGCTCTCGCCTTTGCGCCGCGCGCACATTCTGCTCTAACTGATAAGTGCAATATATTCACGGATTGAGGAACACCCGCTTTCAAACTGTGGCTCTAGCCCCAGTGCCGCGCACACTCGTTCTAAACAACTCCAAGCGCTTCACGGATTGAGGACCACCCGTTTTTAAAATGTGGTTCTCGCCTGAGCGCCGCGCGCGCACATTCGTTTTCACGGGTTCCCACGATCAACGTACCAGAAATGGAGTTTGGGACGGATTCCGGGTTTTGCGGGTGCAACATATACGTCGATTCGCGGCGTTGAAATCCCAAGAATGGCGTTCTGGCGCGATCCAGAATCGTCAAGACGCAACAGTCAGGTTGATTCGTGGCGTTGGACTCCGGAGAACAATGTTTTGGTATGTTTCTGGGTCTCAAACGGTTGTCTCCCAACGAGGCAGATCCCTCAATGGAAATGAACCGTTGTATGGGGCCTTTGAAAAAGGGAGCTTGGCGGGAGATGGTATTCCAACATCGTTGATAGCTTTTGGGTTTACACTGGTCCTCCTCCTCCTCCTCCTCCTCCTCCGCCTCCTCCTCCTCTCTCTCCTCCTCCGCTTCCTCCCCCCCTCCCCCCTTCCCCTCCCCTCCTCCTCCTCCTCCTCCTCCTCCTCCTCCTCCTCCTCCTCCTGCTCCCCCTCGCCAGCAGGCGCTGCGCCGCGCCCTCGCCGAGATCTCCGACAACGGCGCGCGCAGGAGCGAGCTCGCCCTCGCCGAGCTGGCCGAGCAGCGGCGCTCGCAGGCCGCCGTGGGCGCTGTGCCCCCGGATCGTCGGCCGTCTCCGTCGCCGCCGTCGCCGTCGCCGTCGCCGTCGCCGTCGCCGCCGCCGCCGCCGCCGCCGCCGCCGCCGTCGTCGTCGTCGTCGTCGTCGTCGTCGTCGTCGTCGTCGTCGTCGTCGTCGTCGTAGGATCCGAGGCCCCGAACAGAAAAATCGGTCCGTCGTCGTCGTCGTCGGATCCTAGGCCCCGAACAAATTACTCGACGCGGGGCTTCCCATATGTGCATCTCATTCTCTTGGTACGTCTTTCTCTTGATATCTGTCAATGAGCGCCTGTGTGCGAGGGCGAACCGCTCGCTCGAGACATTCCCACAGTCTGCAAGCATGAGTGCGACCAATGGCAAATCTGAGAGCGACTGATTCTGAGTGTGAGTTACTCTGGGTGCGATTGAGCCTGGGTTTGAGTGGGTATGCGTGTGAGTAAATATGAGCGCGAGTGCGTCTGTGTGCGAGTGGGTCTGAGTATGGACGAATCTGAGTGTGAGCCAGTCTGTGATTGAGCGGATCGTAGCATGATGAGTCTGAGCATGAGTGAGACTGGGCTTGAGTGGGTTTGAGTGTGAGAAGAAGAATGTGTTAATGAATCCGAGTGCGAGTGAGCCGAGTGTGATTGGGTATGGATGTGAGGCAGTCTGAGTGTGTGTCGGTCTGCGTTTGAGCGGACCGAAGGATGATGAGTCTGAGCAGGAGCGAGTCTGAGTATGAGTGGTTCTGAGCGTGAGTCTGAGTGTGAGTAAGTTTAAGTATGGATATGAGCGGGTCTAAGTGCGAGTGAGCCTGCGTGTGACTGAGTGTGAGTATGAGTGAGTATGAATGCAGAAGAGTGAAGGAGAGCGGAGAGCGAAGGAGAGTGAGGCGGAAGCGTTTGAGTAAAACCTAAAGCTTTGGAACATCGAACCTCGATCGTCTGGCCCTGGCTACTCGAGTTGCCCACGTCCTCCTCCTCCTCCTCCTCCTCCTCATCATCATCATCATCATCATCATCATCATCATCATCATCATCCTCCCCTTCCTGCTTCTGCTCCTACCGTGTTCATGCTGTCCTCCTTCTCCTCCTCCTCCTCCTCCTCGTCCTCTTCCTCCTCCTCCTCGCTTCCTCCTTCTCTTCCTCCTCCTCCTCCTCTTCCTCCTCCTCCTCCTCCTCCTTGGGAGTGCTGAAACCAGCACATCGCCTGAGACATCCTCCCAAAACTGCTCCGAAAACGACAGATGCCCAGCATCATAACGGCCAAACCGCCTGAGACATCCCCGCAAACTGGGCGCGAACGTCCTCCAAATCTGCTCCGAAAGCGAAACATGTTGGACGAGAAAATGGCCAAACCGCCTGAGACATCCCCAGAACATCCCGCGAACGGGACCGAGTGAGATACCCCCCCGCCGCCCCCCTTAGAGTGCTGAAACCAGCGAATCGCCTGAGACATCCTCCAGATCTGCTCCGAAAGCGAAACATGTTGGACGAGAAAATGGCCAAACTGCCTGAGACATCCCCAGAAAATCCCGCGAAAGGGGCCGAGTGCAACACCCCCCCGCCGCCCCCCTTAGAGTGCTGAAACCAGCGAATCGCCTGAGATATCCTCCAAATCTGCTCCGAAAGCGAAACATGTTGGAAGAGTAAATGGCCAAACCGCCTGAGACATCCCCAGAAAATCCCGCGAAAGGGGCCGAGTGCAACACCCCCCCGCCGCTCCCCTTAGGAGTGCTGAAGCCACAGAATCGCCTGAGACATCCTCAACATCAGTGTGTGTGAGTCATCCGATGAGTGGACCTGAGTGAGTGTAGTGAATTTATGAGTGCAAGAACGAGTGAGTCTGAGTGATGAGTGAGTCTGAGTGATGAGTGAGTCTGAGTGATGAATGAGTCGGAGAGATGAGTCTGAGTCATGCCTGAGTGAGAGTGATGAGTGAGTCTGAGTGATGAGTGAGTCTGAGTGATGAGTGGGTCTGAGTGATGAGTGAGTCTGAGTGATGAGTGAGTCTGAGTGATGAGTGAGTCTGCGTGATGAGTGAGTCTGAGTGTGTCTGAGTGAGATGAGTGGTGTGTTCTCGTCTGTGTTCTCCTCCGGCGCGGTCCGCCAATAACAAGAACCCCATATTTAGGATATGGGGACAAACGGTCGTCGCCGTCGCCGTCGTCGTCGTCGTCGTCGCTGTCGTCGTCGTCGTCGTCGTCGTCGTCGTCGTCGCCGTCGTCGTCGTCGTCATCATCGGATCCGAGGCTCCGAACCAAAATTACCCAGGCGACGTACCCACCCTCTGCGCAATGCGGGACACGAGTAGCCTGGGACACGTTATACAGAGGTCAGCACGTGACATGGGAGCATATAATTCTGCGAGCGGCATTCGTGAGGCTCGCAGCCCGCAAGGGATGGCGAGGCCCAGCTCAGATCTGCGCGGTGCCTCACTCCGCTGGACCCACCAGCAGCACTCGAAAGTGGCGGCAGTTTCGCAGATCGCAGCCCTCCCCCCCCCAGGGGACGGCGAGGTCTCGCTCAGATCTGCGCGGTGCCTCACTCCGCTGGACCCAGCAGCAGCCCTCGAAATTGGCGACAGTTTCGCAGATCGCAGGCCCCCAGGGACGGCGAGGTCTCGCTCAGATTTGCGCGGCGCCTCACTTCGCTGGACCCACCAGCAGCCCTCGAAAGCGGCGACAGTTTCGCAGATCGCAGCCCTCCAGGGATGGCGAGGTCTCGCTCAGATCTGCGCGGTGCCTCACTCCGCTGGACCCACCGGCAGCCCTAGAAAGTGTTGACAGTTTCGCAGATCGCAGGCCCCCAGGGACGGCGAGGTCTCGCTCAGATTTGCGCGGTGTCTCACCCCGCTGGGCCCACCAGCAGCCCTCGAAAGTGGCGACAGTTTCTTAGATCGCAGCCCCTCAGGGACAGCGAGGTCTCGCTTTGATCTGCGCGGTGCCTCACTCCGCTGGACTCACCAGCAGCACTCGAAAGTGGCGACAGTTCCGCAGATCGTAGCCCTCCAGGGACGGCGAGGTCTCGCTCAGATCTGCGCGGTGCCTCATTCCGCTGGACCCACCAGAAGCCCTCGAAAGTGGCGACAGTTTCGCAGATCTCAGCCCCCCAGGGACGGCGAGGTCTCGCTCAGATCTGCGCGATGCCTCACTCCGCTGGACCCACCAGCAGCCCTCGAAAGCGGCGACAGTTTCGCAGATCGCAGCCCCACCCCCCCAGGGACCGCGAGGTCTCGCGGGAGACAGGAGGCGGGAGGCAGGAGGCGGGAGGCGGGAGGAGAAGGACGCGACCGCAGCGTTCTCTTCAAAACGAATGCCCAACCAAGGAGGGTTGGGACAAAAATGACGCAGCCGGTTTTTGGGTTGTTTTCGGCCTCCCCTGGGCCATCGCTGGGTCCCGGGACAGTCAAGGAACGGCTCGGGATGAAGAGCCGGCCTTGAGCACTTCGTGCAGACCTCCAGAGGTCCACCCGCAGAAGAATTTGGAGCGCCGGATGTTTGGGTTGTCGTCGTTGTCGTCGTCGTCGTGGTCGCGGTCGCGGTCGTGGTCATGGTCTTCGCGGTCGTCGTCGTCGTCGTCGTCGTCGTCGTCGTCGTCGTCGTCGGCGTCGGCGTCGTCGTCTTTGTCGTCATCGTCTTGCTCGAGGACCTTCTGACGACCCAGGCGTTGCAATTTTCAACACCAGAGTGTGGGAGTGAGTCAGATGAGGAACAGATGCCGATACCGCCAGCCCTTCCCCTTTTTCGTTTTTTGGGGGCCTCCAGGGAAGCCCTCGTCGCCACCGCTGGATTTGCCTCGAAATCGGAGTGAGAACGCACCCTAGGAGAGGTCCAGGGAGTAGCAGTATCGATATCTGCGTGCCTCCCTAGGGAAGGGGGGGGGAGGGGGGCCCTGCCGTCGCGCTGCTCTTCGGTTCGTGCCGCCGCTCGCCAAGCTGAGGGAGTGGCTCGCGCTGCGGTGAGGACCGTTTCCCCCGCGCCACGAGGAGGAGGAGGAGGAGGAGGAGGAGGAGGAGTAGAATGCTGCTTATGACGAAGATGATGGTGATGCTGTTGATGATGCTTATCATGCTGCTGATGATGATGCGGGTGCTGATGGTGATGATGTTGATGGTGGTGGTGATGATGATGATGGTGGTAGTGGTGGTGATGATGATGTGGTGGCGGTGACGATGATGAAAATGATTGTGACGGTGGCTATGGTGATGTAGGTAATGCTGATGATATTGATGATGATGATGATGATGATGATGATGATGATGATGGTGGTGGTGGTGGTGATGATGATGATGCTGATGCTGCTGCTGATGATGATGATGAGGATGATGAGGATGATGAGGAGGGTGAGGACGATGAGGATGATGATCACGATGGTGACGGTGGTGGTGATGCTGATGATGATGATGATGGGTGGTGATGAGGATGGTGGTGGCGGTGACGAGAATGAATCTGATGGTCATGGTGGTTCTGATGATGTAGGTGATGCTGATGATACTGATGATGATGCTGATGCTGCTGCTCATGATGATGCTCGTGATAATGATGATGCTAATGCTGATGCTGATGATGTTGATGATGATGGTGCTGCTGCTGCTGATGATGATGATGATGATGATGAGGATGGTGACGACGATGAGGATGATGATGACGATGGTGATGGTGGTGGTGATGATGCATATGATGACGACGATTGTGGTAGTGATGGCGATGATGATGGTGGCTGCGGTGACAATGATGAGTCTGATGGTGTTGGTGGTTATGGTGACGTAGATGATGGTGATCATGATGAGGATGCTGCTGCTGCTGATTATGATGATGATGCTAATGATGCCGATGATGATATGATGATGACGACGAGGATGAGGATGAGGATGATGTTGATACTGATACTGATGCTGATGATGACCATGACGATGACGACGACGAACCTGATGCCGTTGATGATGATGTTGCTGCTGCTGCTGCTGATGATTGTGGTTGTGGTGGAGATACCGATGATG